GGCTAATGAGAAGACCAAGACGAGACGATAGATTACGATCGGTAGCTAGTAGGACAAGGATGGACATGGCGCCACACGACGATCGAATCCATGACGAGCTGCAACTCGATGGCATCGCTGTTTCGTGCTACCGCATGCAGCGCGATGTTTGATGACGGTGGTAGCTCTTGGTCGGTTGCGATTTCGTCCGTCACCTTTAGGGACGTGGCATGGACGCCAAGGATGAGAGGGCGCGCTGCACAGAGCACCCACACGCGACCTAGCCGATACAGTACAGGATGTAGCTCGATGCAAACGCAGCGTACCGAGGAGGAGATGCAATGAGGCGACCCCATGCGGCGCCACCCAATGCGTCCAGGACGAGGCTCCGTCCACGTGGCAGAAAATCGTGCTGCCGAGAGCGACGGCAAGGAGAGCGCCCTCGGACGCGATGGCAAAGGTCGACCATGGAAAGGTCCGCGGGACGCAGGCGAGGTCGTGGAGCGTCGTTGGTGGTAGAAACGGCGCGGGAAGGCAGCGGCGGCCGTCGTCGAGCGCGATGGTACCGGCGACGTCCCGCCGTAGCGTCCACGGACTCCCATCGACGCGGCCTTCTTGCGCATCCTTGCACGGCTGGAGCGCGAGCAGCGCATCGCCGTACGTCCATCTCATGAGAAAGCACGTGCCAGATACGTCATGCGCGACAAGGCCGACGGCGTCGACGAAGGCCAGACCCAGCAGCATCGAAGACGGTGGCAAGACGACGCGCTCAACGCATCGCCCCGACTCGACGTCGACGAGGTCGATGAATTGGGAGCTGTGTGCGACAGCAGCCACGCGCAGCGTGCCATACTGCGCAACGAGGGTGCTGGAGGGGTACCCCACAAACGCATTGGGCGACGGGGTCGCACTCACGCGAAACGGAGCTGACGCGAGCCGCCACGACGCATCGTCGCGCTTATACACTGCAATGTACCCGTCCTTGACGGCGAATATCGCACGGGATGCGTGCAGGACCACGGACGTGATCCGGGTCGACGGCATGACGGCCTCCAGCTCGATGGCACGGGCCTCGAGGCGCCGGATCTGGATGCGCCCGTCCGTGGCGCCAAGAGCAAGCCATGCGCCGCACGGGGAGACGCAGCAGTGCACGACGGGGGTCTCGGCGTAGACGTGGTCGACATCGCGCATCCGCGAGCGGTCCCAGGCGTACACGTAGGCGCCGTTGGACGTGCAGACGATGAGCGTCGTTGAGGTGAGCGCGATGTGCTTGCCAAAGTACGGCAACTCGGCCTCGAGGAGCAGCGCCCACGAGCGATCGTAGATGCAAACGCGGCTGGCGTGCGCAACGGCCACAAAGGCGCCGTCGCCCGACCACGCGTGGCAAAAACGGCCAATGCCAACGTTGCCGTAGGCCTTGGTGGTCCGAAGCGTACACGCCGCACTTGTCAGAGCTAGCACCTTGACACTGCCATCTTCACAGACCACGCTCAGTAGGTCGTTCTCTGCGCCTGGCACGGACACCACGCTCGAGTTCCACGAGCTGTACGGAGCACAGGCGCCCGAGAGGACCACACGCCCGACCTCCATGCTCGGAGTGAGCGCTGCAAGGCCATTGGATATGATTGAGCCAATCGTTGCCCCGTATATCTCGATATCGACATTGGATTGGTTGTCGTTTCAGCCTCCATCGGCTCTTGCTTGGTTGGCATCAGATAATTGCTCGCAGCTCAGCGATCACTACTGCATCTACTAGCTAGCTCGTAGCTGGCACAAAATTCAATGCACTATGTCGCCACGGTCGGCCATGGCGTCTACCACGCACGCTGCTCTAATCGAAGTACTCGGCCGCGTGCTGCGGCGCGTCCGTCTCGGGGCGTGCGTCCGGATCCGCCATGTCTTCGTTGACATTGTCGCTCGCATCCACCATCTTGGCCGGCACCTACGACACTTGTCAAGATTCGATCCATGCATCTACCATGTCATACGTGTTGGAAGGGCACGCTGGGCACGGGCTCGATCTGGCGCAGTTGCTCAAACAAGCGTTGCTACAGCAGTTTGCTACAATCACGAAATTATCGATCCAAAGAATACCTTGGTGTCGTTGAGGTAGCTGGGCGTGTTGAGGTTTTCCATGTTGCTCACGGGCATGTGCAGCCGGTACTCGGGCCCGAAGTACTCAAAGTAGTCGTTGTACGGCATCGCATCCTAGATCGCACTGTCAGATTTCCGATGCAACTTCTCAAATTACTGGGATCTCGACGCCGAGGGCCACCGACGTCTCGTAGCACCAGCAGCGCGGAACGTTCCGGAGCGTGTAGCCGCCGCCGCCCAGCACGAGCATGGGGATGTTGAACGACTTGACGAACGCAACGCAGTCACCATGGCCCTTGACGCTGAGGTTAAAGCAGCCGAGGCGATCGCCCGAGAGCGAGTCGGCGCCGCACTGGAGCACGACAGCGCCCGGTGCAAAGTGCTCCATGACCTTGGAAATAACCTAGACAAAGCGTTGAGAGAATATCGCAATTGAGCTGATGGGCGTACGTCGCGGAAGACAGCAGTGAAGCTCTCGTCGTCCATGCCGTCATGACACGGGAAGTTGACCGCGTAGTTCTTACCCTCGCCGTACCCAACGTCCTATTCGCAGTCCTTGATGTCTCTCGAA